TTATGGCATGTTGCCACAGAAACGGATGGCGAGTGTAATTTCAGGCTACCTGATACTACAGATGGTATTAAATGTTTCAGTGGGATTAATTTGTAAAAAAAAAAAGAAATTAAACAAAGGTCTACTCTGAACATCACAGACGTACCTAACAGCTTTGGATCTCAAATTAAAGTCTCAACACATCCATGTGAAAATAAATTACCCTATCAGACACTGTACCAGCAAATTAGAATTTCAATTAGTTTAGATTAGATTAGGCCATATTGTCTCCAGTGGGAGAAATTTGTCTTGGACAACCGAGGGGAATATGTCACACGAAATAACACAAAATCACAACATGTCTGGTATCCTGTACCTTTTTTCCAGAGGACTCATATTCTTTATAAAAGATGTGATTTATATCTGTAGTGATTTTCCGGCCCTTCTTTATCACCGACTCTTTAAATATCACAATGACAATCATCTTTCCAGCTATTTTGATCCAATTTTGGATTTGTGATCTGATCTTGACCTAAAAGGCTCAGATCAAGCATCTGTTACTATTAGTAGTAATGCATGGTTTGGTAACCATGTAGTAGACAGTAATGTCACAGCAAAAATAATAGCATAATGTTACTATCCACCCTATGGAGCCTTCATAAAAACTAAAAGTGAGTGATTTGTGAATGTCTAGACTCTAAAAGCTCTGCACAGCCAAGCAGAAGTTATTAATTATCTATTAGATATGAAGCAGCTGGGTTGTGAGGCAAAATGTAAATGATTCTACGATGACACGACCACTTCCTCTTCTACAGGTTGGAAGATTTGTAACAATACTCCTGAAATTCAATATACAGAAGTGGAAGCAAAGTCCAGTTACACACTCGTGATTGGCATCTGTCCAAATAATCACTTGTGACTTGCACGAAAAAGCAAAAGCAAAAACAAAACAAAAACAAGTTATTTAAGAACTAAAATTCAGTAGGATTCATAAGACAGTATTTGTCGAAATTGCTTAGGCGCTGAGATGTAATTTCTAAGACTAAGCAGTGTAAAAGAGGCGTCCACTGTCGTTAAATTGCGCTTGCTCAATCACAACACAAACCGGAACAGTCCTGCTGCATAAATGTGTTAAAAGGGGCGAACTTATCAAGCCTGGTGTTGACATTCGTCTGTTCAAAATCTAACTATTAGGACACAATGAGTGTAACAGCTCGGGTGACGTCTCTCTGTCACGATGGACCATCTTACCATAAATCATTGCCAGCCCGGTTTCGTGGAGAAACCTGAACCGCCGATGTTTGAACAACCAGATGGTCAGGATGGTGAGGGTGAGGAGCAGGATAAAGATCAGCAGGTCAGCGCTGTCTTGTCTGTGGCTCTCCTCAGCCTTTTTCTCTGTAACGATGTTCTCCATGGCACTGTCCTCCTGAGGAGATGATGCTCGGCAAACACTGATGCAAACAGGCAGGCTTACTAGCACGAGCAGCCACAGCGTCCTTGTTGCCCTCCGGGCACTGCTGACAGTCACTTTAAACACCATTTCGGCTTTCGGCGGCCAAATGCTGCAACGTCGCCGAAGGTAAAAATAAACTTGTGCAAATATTATTCATAAACGGAGGGGAGTGGGCAACAGAAAGACGACAGCAAAATAGAAACCAATTCCGGCCCGGAAGGAAAAAGTAATTTTTCCAGAAAGTGTAATTTTATGTTTCAAATTAAAAGCACACCACCGTACCGTGGATAGTTAAAATCAACGCCAGTGGAAAACTTTAATACCGCAAAAAGAAAACCTTCTATATAAATAAAAATGTCTATCTGGCAGTTTTCTTGGAAGTTTGCTTCTTATTAGCGATGATAGTTTCCCCCGAAATATTTTATTATGAAATATTTGACGATAGCGTGTTTACCGGGAAGTGAGTCCAACAGTCCTTTAGGTTATCGATTTGTGTCGTATTGAAAATAATAATAATAATAAACCAAATATAATAACAAACTTAGCGTTTATTTTAGATTACTGTTTAATTACAGTGTAATTCTAAATAGAATAAATTTAAATAAAAAATAGCCGCATATTTCCTGTGGTATTTCCTCATTCCTACTTCCTT